GCTTCTCATGTCCTTCAAAACCATGGATTTCAATGGATTTCACTGGTTTATGAATTGCAGAGCGCTGGACTTCCAAGAGCAAAACTCTCCAAAAAAACCTGGCCCTACTCATTTTATAAACACACCGTGTTAAACTGAAGTGTGGAAATATACCTGCTTCTGCTTGAGCACCTTCAGGTCTGCTGTCCATTCCTGGAGCAAGTTGTGAAGCGCCACGGAGATGATGCAGTCTGTGCATGTCAGTGCTGAATATCCACACTCCAGAAAAGAATATATATGTATATAGTATTAAATAGTGGCAGTGGTATGCAGCTTGATCGAAATTGTGAAACAGATTCATTATAGTATATGCAGAGTCACTTCCTGCCATGTGAACAACTTCCGAGAAAGATAACCTGAAATTGCCTGCTTCCGCTGGAACACCTTCAGGTCTTTTGTCTGTTCCTGGAGTTCAACAATAAAACGCTACAGAGATGATCAGAGATGAGGCAGTCTGCAATGGATATCCACATTCATCCATATTCCAAAAGTATAAATACAGCATATACATTAATATAAATTGTATTAAATTGTATTAAATCGTGGTCTGCTTCAGCTTGTTCTAATTATTCTCAAATTGTTCAACAGGTTCTTTATGCGCAGAGATGTTTCCTGCCATGTGAACAACCCCCGAAAAAAATTGCAACTGGCCTCCTTCAAGTGGTGCTTCGGAAGGCTTCGGCTTCGCATCTCCTTCAAAACCATGGATTTCAATGGATTTCAATGGTTTATGGAATGCAGTGCACTGGACTTCCAAGGGCAAAGCCCTCCAAAAAACCTGGCCCTACTCATTTTATAAACACACTGTGCTAAACTAAGTTGAAATGAAGTGTGAAAATATTCAAAAATATCAAAACTATTCAAAACTATGAAGTAATGCTTCAGCATGCTTCAGCTTCTTCAACAGATTCATGGCATGCACAGTCATGGCCTGCTATGTAAACCACCTCTGGCTGAAAGGTTTCACTAACAGTCCAGCTTGCCTTGCTCCAGCGGCGCTTCCTGCAGAGGCTTTGGTGCTTCCTCAACACCTGATGCTGTGCATGGCAGTGGCCGGCAATGTAAGAGGATGTCACAGGGGGAGGCATTCAAAACTTCAAATTCTACTCAAACGATCTCAAGTAAATGAATTGTGTTTATGAAATACCATCCACTGCAATTCAAAAGGCAAAACTCTCCACAAACATAGTGAAACTCATTTTATAAACAAGCACTCGCCTGCTTCCTGTGGTTTTGGGGAAGGGTGGGCGTGTCCATCAGAGGTCTTGAAATGATGGTCCCAAAGAACTCAAATGTTTATGAATTGCAGTGCACTAAAGATCCACAAAACATCTCTGCATAAACCTAGAGAATTCATTTTATAAAGCAGCAGTCTAAATTTTGGAAGCAATCTAATGGATTCTAATTACGAAAATTTGCTTTGACCAGCCGTCCAGTGCCTGCGTCTGCTTCATCTTTGTCAGATGTATTCTTTGTTTTCTTGGTTCCTGGAGCAGCAACCCAAAGATCAAACATGATTCAGCATGGGCAGTTGAAAGTGAGATCAAGAGCCCTCACAACATCTCATGGCTCATGGGTTGTAAGCATCTATAAAATGCCTGACCTTTGCCGTTGCATGTGCAATCCTAGCATGCTCTTTGGGAAGCCCATTTCATAAACAAAAAGGTGCACGTTTTATATTGTTTTATATTGTTTTATATCGTTTTATCGCGTTTTCTCATGTTTTCTCCAATCTCGAAACCCTGAAATGCGCAGCAGTAGTAGCACTGTAATGCGCCATGTGACAACACTTGGTGAGTTTGGTAGCATTGGCCACCCGAACTCTGCCCAACAATGTCCAAGTTAAATTGAAATTTACAGTGATCTCTCCCACTCCTTCAAGATTGCCGTAGCAAACCGCTGAGGGTAGATCGCTGTTGAGCTGAGATCTTTCCCTCCGTGGAATTTACCACGACGGTCACGTACCCAGAACTCTGTTGCTGGCAAGCCTTTTGCCAACCTTTTCTCATTTAATGTCTTCAATCGCTTGGCGACTGTCTCCCGAAGACTCTTGGTGGCCTTTCGGACAATTGCACTGCACGAGAAATTTGACATCAAATGTGTGCCTTTCATCAGTGGTGCACCCCAGGAACCCATGTACGTCAAGTATTTCTTAACCTTCCACCGGGAAATTGCTTCCAGCATCCGCGTCTGCTTGTACATCCACGAAGATGTGGGTTGCTCTATCAGAATCCGGGCAGTTGGACGAAAGTAGTTCATCAATAATAAGAAAGTCACCTCGAAAAGATTCAAAAAGAACAAAAGTCATCTGTGTCATTCTGTGTCTATCTGTGATTCTTTCGGAACATGAAAAGACCATATGAGAGGCCATATGCAAAAAACCACCCTCTTGCATTCTCTTGCTGAGTTTCAGTGTCACTATCAACCAAAGAAATCCCGAAAATTGGATGAAAACGGAAACATTGCGATCAAGCAACTGTATTTGCCAGAATCAAATTGCTCAATCTCACGGAATGCAAAGAAGTGTCTCCCTCCAACTGTTCAACCTCAAAAAACAATGTTAGAAGCATTAAAACAAGGACATCAATTCAGCCTGGCCTCAATTTGCAGTCATGTCTCTCTAAAACTCTCTCCAAGAAACGCTGCGTCGGTGCGTCCCAACCGACAGCCCCACGAACAAGCTGCAAGGAGGAGCTAGAGCAATCAGAGCGTGCTGACAAGACCTCAGCACTTACACCTCCCCTGTCTCACAACACTGGAAGCGTTCTACTGTTCAAACAAACTGACTGCAACAAGAACACTTGAGCCCCATGTCCAGCAGGTAAAGAAAACCATCTTTGGTCGTCACATCATACTGCCAGTTGGATTGGATGTCATAGGCCACAGAATCATACCCTGCTCGACGAAAAGTTTGGCAAAATCGCTGTGAATGAGAAAACACATCAACGCAGTGCCAATGCCGCTGTCCATGCAAGCGGTCATACTTAAAGCAGAAGTCACTCAGGAACCCCCAATCCGCTGCAGCGAAGTACCAATGTTGCTCTTCTACACTGGTTGAAGCATCAAGATGTTTGGTACCCAAGGCCTGAGTTCAAGAAGCCATACAACTAGAGGTCGGCCCAATGCAGTAGATTCACCAAACAATGTTTATGAAATGCCTATCTCCTGAAAAGTTCCACATGGTCTTAGGTCATGTTAGCTAAACACCAGGAGTGTGAGACATTGTGCTACACTATGATTCATTTAATTCATTTATAAAATGAGTTCTTAGCACACACATACTCTGCATTCAAAGAAATCTGCTCACTTTCCCCTTTTGTAAGCAGGCCACTGTGTGGCATGAAAGGAAGCCAGCCAAAGGCCTTCTTCCAGGGGTGCTTCGGAAGGCTTCGGCTTCTCATGTCCTTCAAAACCATGGATTTCAATGGATTTCACTGGT